CCCATGTTTCAATGCAAGTGAGTACCAATCACAACCCCCCAAAAAAGCAGATTTCAGCATCCCTCAGTCCAACCACATTCCAGTAGTTACATGCTTTGAGAGTGCCCTGGGCTGAAATAAATAAATAAATAACAAGATAAAAAGATGGCATTCAGTGTTAGCAGGCTATATCTTCCTTCCTCTTCTTTCAAGAAATGAATCACCAATGAAACAGAGATGACTCCCTAAGGGAACCCAAAGCATGCCTTCTCTTTCACATGCAAGTCTGCAGTAGCCTTCCAAGCTCTAAATGGGGAGAAAACTAGGCTACATTTTAATATTCATTTCCACAACACTGAGTCAATACTGCCTGTGAGTGCAAAGGGATTTTTAAGGAAAAATAGAGCTGCCCTCATATCTCACTAACATAGTGAGAATGTATAAATAGTTGCACATGGCAGATAATTAGGTTGTGTCAACACAGCATTGTACTTGCAAGCATCTGGGTAGCAACTGCTTGACAGGAGAGTGCAAATGAGCGGCTGCTAGCAGAATATTATGCTGCTATATACAAAGCAAGTGCTGTGTTACCCAAAAACTCTGGACAGTGCTATTCAAATCCACCACATAAAAAGTGTGCCATGGGCAAGATTTTATGAAACATCAAGACTGTCTGAAAAGAGGGAACTTGTTATGTCCTTTTTAGTTGACTCTGAGCTCTGCAGTTTCGCTGATGGACACTACTGCTGAAGACGCTGGACAAGAGCCTCACCTCAGCCTGACGAGTCCCTGGTGGGGTCAAAATTGCACACCAGTTTTTGGGAACACAACAGGCTCTCCTCTCTTCCTTGGTGGCCAACGAAGCAAGTTTCTCTGTGCACCATCCTACTACAGAGGCTTGCTCTGGCATGTTGCATGTCCCTTGTTTTTGCTGGCAAGACCCAAGGGATGTTGTGGTACAGGGGCAGTTCCAGCAGCTCCTTATCCCATGCTCAGGAATACAGCACTGCTTCTGATGAAGGGGTGTTTTAGCTCAGCCTGAATTTAGCTCAGCCTGAATTCCCTTTTAGCTCAGCCTGAATTCAATATCATGAAGCAAGTATGAATAGAAGAAGTCTCAAACACACCTTTTAGCAAGAGCAGGATCCTCCCTAGTGCTGCCTCTCACTAAAAGCTTGAATCTGTTTGCACAAACACCAAAGGCAGAGGTCAGTCATCTAGGATGCAAGAGACTGGAAAAACTGAGAGGGCAAAAGTTTTTTTGTGTTTTCTTTTTAGTTAGTTAGTTTGTTTGTTTGTTTTTATTTCCTTTTTTTTTTTTTTAATTTGTCAAGCCACATAACTCTATGTTTTTACTCCACACTCTAACTCCCTTCTTTTGTTTGTTTCTCATTTGTTACAGGCAGTGGTTTAACAGCAACTTCATATCCTTGACTATTTGTGCATTATTTTAATTATATATTTGTCCAGAATGAATTCACCCACAGATATTTAGCAGAAAGTCTGTCTTTAATTCAGGTTTAAGCATAGTGTTCCTCAAACATCTTAGCAAAACTAAAAACCAAATGGATCAAATTGCACAAAGAGACCATAAATATTTTTGTCTTTAACTATATATCTCCTACCCAACTGCCTTCATTCTTCTGGGTGACTTTATTCTCAGCTTTCTGAGTTTTCCAGCAGTCTGTTCCATCTTAAAGAAAAAATAAATAAATAAAAAAATCATATGCTTCTCTGTTACACCATAAATAGTTTGGAAATATGAATATTTCAAAGTTAAATGTTATTCTGTACTTTTCATTTCATTCTGTGTACATTATTTTAAATGGAAAATGAATCTTTGATGTTCCATCACTGAAAAGAAACTGAAAAAATATTCTTGCAATGAAGAATTTTGCACTTCACTAATACACCAACAGTGTTGAAAACATATGTTTCAAAAGCAGTGAATAGTACATGTAAAGCCATGTAACTTTCCTCAAATGACACAACATGATGCTATTTGGCTGAAAAAGAAAGAGTATATATAAATTAATCCTGGATACTATTCCCACATATTATTTAAAGAATCTCTGCTTGCTTGCTTGCAGTTTTCATGACTATATGTTTTGCACTTCAACTCTCATAAAAATGCACAACACTTCTGTCTCTTTTTAAAATGTTAATCTTAATTGCACATTGTTACTACATCTCCTCAAGTTGTTTGTATCACTGCATTCCAGTCATCCAGCAAACCAAGCTGTAGTGTTAAAATCTCAATCATCACAGCAAAATCAATCCTCTTGACTTCCACAAGGCTCATTATTCTTTCCAAGACTCTAATCATTCCAGAGATTGATTTGAATGTGAGTCCTCTGGATATGTTTCACAGAAGAATGGCAGGGACTATCACATTATTCCACCCAAATACCTGAACCGTATTTGAATAAGTTATGCCTGAATAAAACCATACCTGTCTTGTAATTCTTTGGGAGGTACCAAGACATGTGAGAAAGTTTCGAAGTAGCTCAGGCTCTGTTAACAATGTAGACTTTGGCAGTATTAGCTACAAAAATTGTTCAATAAAATGTCTTTTGAGATGTCAGGATGAATATATGACAGGAGGTAGCATCAGCTAACCTTAGTTTTAGTACTATTAATTCAGATTTTTCTGTAGATTATACTATATTGGTTGTATCAAGATGAATCCCTCCCACAAAAAAATATTTGATGTCCAGACAGTTTTTATGAAACATACTGCAAGACCAAAGTTTGGCCTTTGCTCCACAATCTCTCTCTTATACCTGTTATCTGGCAGTATATGTAGAGGAAAATTAGTACATTATCAATTTTAAAAATGGGATTTTCTACATGTATTGGTTTTGGAATTATCCTGAAGTATTATAAGATCATGGAAGGACTATTAACATAATATATTTATACAAGGACAATGTATATTTAATCAGTACTTAATGGTGATAATAATAATAGGTTTCCCCATGGAGAATGACAATATGATTTTCAACTTCCTGAATTAATAATCTTGCAGAATACTGCAGACCATTATTTCACTTCACTCACATGCAGAAAGAAGAAATCTTTTTCCGTGCAAGTAAGGAAACCTCTAAAACAAATCAAAGATGTGGGCAGACAGTACAGAGAACTAATTAACTCAAGGCGAGTAACCCAGGAAAATTAATGTTGAGTTGGAGGTAGTTCAAAGACTTTAACAGTAACAGTTTAAAATGCAGCATTTATGGCCTTGAGTAGTTAAGACCTTGTGAATGACTACATTCTTTTCAGGAGGCATGAAACTTCAAAGGCAAGGGGAGTGAAAATAAATCTGTGTGTACCAAGTGATAGGAAAGAAAAAGAAAAAATATTTCATTGCATTTGTAGAGGGGCAAGATCTCTTATGATCCTCAAAGACTACTCAGAAGACAGAGACCACTACTGCTGAAGTATGAACAGAGCCATGAATGGTTGAGATTGTCAAAGGAACATGTACAGGAGTCAGCGATACTGAGTTGCTCTTAGGTGGTGTGCCGAGTTGCTGCTCCACTCTGTCAGAAGAGTCCTAAGTCTAGTGCGTCTCTCATTTGTAAATATCTTCTTGTTGCTAAATTAATTATTCATTAATCAGAAATAGAGAAGAAAAATGTTTTTGCATCACTGATGTAAGGTGGCATTGAAAACCAAATGTGATCCTAAGGCACACCAGGAAGTCTTTTTTTTGGAAGAAAGAATACTTCAGTACCTTTGTGTAAGATTCATGTGTGACCCTATCAGGAATAATAATGATCAGTTTTTAAACTGTTGTTTGGGAAGGAGGAAGGAAAATTTTGAATATGTCCAAAAAAGACACTGAAATGGCAAGGTTACTGGTATTGCAAAAGAAAGACAGGACTTGCTTTCTTGTGCCTACTATAATGAAAACTGAAGAAGGAGGTGTGAAGAGAGAAAGGGAGATATGATGAAGTGTCACTAGAAAACACCAAAATAAAAATAAAAACAAAAATACATATTTCTGTTGCAGAACAAAAGCAGGAGAGCAAGAATGGGTATCCACAGGTCCTGAATACATGCAGTTCAGAAAATAAAAGGTTTCCAGCAAAGTGAAACAGCAGCAGCAGAAGACTGTGAGAGGTACAAACTGCCGCTAAGGAAAAGGGAGCAAAGCAGCAGTTTAAACAGAGATCTCCCTTCCTTGGGCATTTGCTATTTTTGGACATGTTTCTCATTCTTTGTTCAAACTTTGCGAATATTGATTGGAAAACTTTCTTTCATTATCTTCAGGAGAATGTTCTACTGAAAGAGAATATTGACTAGGAAAGCTTTTGGCAGGAAAAGATTAAAGTGTATACATTATAAACATCTTGAACATTTGGACACTATTTCTTGGTGGTAGAAGAAAAAAAAATGCCAATTTTGATAGCATAATCTTTATAGTATACCTTGAACAAAATTAAGGATCACATCTTATTGTAAGAGTCTACAAACACTTTTGAAGAGTGTCAGTCTTTGCCAACCATAATAACTAATATTGCACAAGTATTTAAATACCACTACAGAGCAGTTCTTGGACAGAGTTGTCCTGGCAGATGGTTCTATATTAGTATATTAATATATTAGAATATTAGCATATTGATTTCACCTCACACTCTGTGTGCATGAAAACTCACACTATCTTCCGGTTATGATTAAAAAAAAAAAAAAAAAGTTCCGTCTTGGCTAAACATCTCTATTATGCTAAACATTTACCTCATCTAATCTACAGTTTTTAAATGCACAATGACTTTTTTTTCCTTTTTTTTTCTTTTTTTTTTTTTTTTCAGGATTTTTTAGCTGGTTGAGATGAACTACCTTCTTCCAAAGAACATAGGAAACAGAGTACAGCTCATTCCTCTGTTTTAATAAGCTTAGGATTTTTCCTATAGTGTTCAATACAGATTCAGTGAGATTGCAGTTTTATATCTTTTATATATATATATATATATATATATATATATAATTTGTTCTGAGTGCCTCAGAAGGGTATACTAAGTGCTTACATAAATCAGAAGTAATTTGGGTTTCTCCGGTTTTATGAAAATACATGTACGGGTCAAGAACAAGTGTGGAGATTTTCTTCCAAATAGGAGAGCATTTTTGTGAAAATGACAGAGTATATTTTCAGCATAATATTTCAATAATATAACATCTTATTACAGTTTTACTGTACAGTAAAACTATACTTACTACATCACTACAATGTTACTCTTATTTTTTCTTTCTCCCTCACAGAGAGTGAGGCTTTTTTTGTTGTTGTTGTTGTTGTTTGTTTGTTTGTTTTTTTGTTATGTGTATCATCTATACACACTACAAAACTGTGACTGATTAGGCTTGATTTTGATAAAGCTGATATGCATAATTAATCTCCATCTTAAAAAAGGATCAGGAAAGTAAAAAATGAATGAAAAAGGTTAGTAAAGTCATTGAAGAATTAATGTGAGTAGAATTCATACCCCTCTTACTGTACCAGACCTCTCAAGGCAAACGTATTCCAACCACTGGCAAGCAAAGGATAGATAATAAATCTCAGAGAAATGAGAAAGGTTAATAGAAGACCATAATAAGGAAAGAAAATTATCTCACAAATTCAATTAGGAACTTTGATATCTAAGGCTAAAAGTAGAAACCAGAGGTTCAGAGATACCTGGACATAGAACTGTATGTCACTGAAACAAGAAAATGTAGAACACAAATGCTTTATAGTACAGATACATCCATTGTACAGAGATGGAATAAGGACAGAAGTATTTACTGAAAAAAGTTTGCTTACTAGGTGTATTGGGTACTGCTGTTTTGCTATATTAAAACTAGATTTAACATTCACATGTTTCTACAGTGTGATCATCTGACAAAGCCATTCTCAATGTTCAGGAATCTTCCTTCTCCTCCTTTCTTACAAGGAAATATATTCCTCTATATTAACTCTAGAGCCTTCTTTTTCAATCTTTATTAGTTAAAATACCTAGTGATAAGACTAAATAGAGAGAACAAAAAAGGTTGCAATGACTTTGGGCTGTGTTATCAGCACTCTTCTCATCCTAAGCCAAAACATAGCATTCTACCAGCTACTAGGAAGAAAATTAACCCTGTCCTAACTGAAACCAGGATATACTTATATGCGCTTTAGTAAATGGAGTAGCCTGCAACCACTATCAACTCACTTCCACTTCCTCACCCAGAAATAAGTACTACAAATCAGAAAAGTTTGTGCAGAACATTCTTCTGTGATTTTATAAAACACAACACCCTTCTTTTAAAGAAGAAAATGCAGAGATAAATGTGTTAGGGCGCTCATAAAGCTTGGAGATAGAATGCATGCATTGCAGCAGAAGTCAATCAATCCAACAAAGAGTATCGGGATAAAAATAAAGGAATGTCTACCTGAACTCGTGGAATAGCTGTTCACACACTCACCAGAAGAGGGACTGCTGAAGCCTGAGCGAGTCCTGTTATACCCGGCAGAAGCTGTGTTAGTTCTGCAGAAGATGCGCCTCCAGGGCAGTGCTGCTGCCAGTTAAAAAGGTTTGCTTATGTTACTGAACTGCAGAGGTTAAGCAATCTACCTGGAGATTCAGAAAAATGCATACATTTTCAAAAAATACACACCCCAAAACAATACTGCATTTTCCCCTAACAGTTGAAGGGATTTATTTAGATTAAAAATGACAAAAGCACTTCTCCAAGACTTGAATGAATTGGTTATGCTGCAATTACCATACAGTTGAATCTCAGCAGTAAGCAGGTTATTTGTAGGTAGGCTGACACCAGTTGCCAGACAGTTGCCAGTTTTCCTTCCCTCTACCTCTGAAACCCTCCAGGCAGGCCTTTGGTCCTCTCTAAAAACTTGCCATTTAACAAAAGCACACCGAACCACTAGATCTTCTGATACCTGTGAAAACACAATGATCATCTGTATAATTTTGTGTTCCAAATAAAGGGCCAGATTTTACAAGTACAGCTTTGAAATATATCCTTTTATCATCCTTCTGTCATTCCTTTTGTATAAGCTAGTGCAGTTTGGTTTCAATCTTTTTCAATTTGCAGACCTCTAAAAAGCTCCCAGTGGAGATACAAGATGAATTTAAACCTACTAAAAAAAATACATTTCATGGTTCCATTTCTCAGACAGTTAGGCATCCATAGATTTTACAAATTAAAAACCATCATAATATGCAAGCCTTATTTTGATTGTAACCAACCAGTGAATGTGTCCTGTAGCTCTAATTGCATTGCTTGATTTCACAGGTCTGCCTGGAGGCAGAATCACAGAATCACACAGAATCAGAGAGGGGTGGAATTCCCACTTAAACAACATGAAATTAGTGAGAACTGGGCTACATTAATTGAACAGAACTGTGTATTTCATCATCAGATCTTTGTCAGTGGTGATTCATTTTAAAATGAAATCCATAAACAGAATATCTTCCTTCAGTAATCTAGAATCTCGTTATTCTTGTCAGGAAAAGGAAGACATAACAAAGTCAAAAAATCAAGTTAATCTGTTTCACTTTCTTTAGGGCAAGATAATTCTGTTCTGAAGAACAAATTCCCCCTCTGCATGTGCACTTGGCACTTGAATCTTTCCCGCTGACCAGATCTGCCAGACATTCTGATTCACCCCTCCCATGATGGCACACCAGTTACCAAGCTTTTTACTTGTGGTGCCAGAGAAATTTGTCTATCACCATATAAAAAGAAGACAAACCTCATTCCAACTATAGGATCCCATGCTGTTATGTAGAAGCAGAAGGAACGACCACCTGGGGATAGAGAGCATGAGAAAATTCCTGAATATTGAGATTAAGACAAGCTGGGGAGTCAACCTGGAAAAACTTGTACAGGTTATCTCAAAAAAATGTGATCTGGAGAAAAGAAAAAAAAAAGTATTCTCTGTAATTCTCACTCATATTCCTGAAGAAATTGCTTAATAAATAATAATAATAGAGAAAAGTTAGGTTACTATGTTTTTCCCCTATATGTTTCAGAATTGTTTAATTTGGATGAAGAGTAGTGGGTGTGGATGTTCAGGGACAGCTGCTCCAATTTCAGGTGAAAGCTCAGCATCTATTTTATTTTCAGCAGAACAGAAAGCATGTAAGTAGCTAGAAAACTGGAAACATGAAATGTTTCCAGTAAATGTTTAACTAGACTTAACCTTCAAGCTTCTTCCTACAGATGATAGACTCCATTCCCCATTGCTGCAAATCTTTTCCATCAATGTATCACTTCAAATTAATATATATGTATACTATAAAATAAAGCCTTCATGTCTGAATTTCTTGTGCTGCAGAAAAATATTATTCCCTATCTATTACCAAAAAAACTGTAATACCCAAGTCACAAAACATTTTTGGAGAAAAAGTGCAAAATCCAGTGTCTTATGCAACATGACACAGGAGAGTGTTGCATGAGAATACAAGCTGTGCTATGCGGAGGTGATTGCAATGTAAGCACTAGATTTTAAAAGTAGTTCACTATTGTACTTAAAAGAGCCATTAACCCAACTCCTCATTCCCATGTAGGACTTACATAAAAATTCATTTCAGAATATAAAGCAAATGTCTCTCCAGCCATTTCAAACAGATTTAATCCCTTGTTAATTTAATACATTAAGTTAAGCTGCTGTGCCTATGATTTTATGTAAAGTTTTAATATGCCTAATAACGTTGAATGGGTGTGTTAAATAACCAGTCTTTAAAATCAGCATGAGAAGAGACAAACTAAGCATTTGCTGTGCTCTTATTGCTCTGACCTTATATAGTTATGATTCTCTTATTAACCTCTAAGTTTTTTTATGGTTCATTCGTGATATAGAATTTTTAAGGTGAGGGAAAAAGAAATAAGATTTTTTTTTCAATCATTTTTTAACACATATAAAGGCTTAAACAAACTTAGACAAATAGAGTTAAAACAAGTCTGAAATTTTATGAAGTCAAAGACACGAATATATCAGGTTCTCTTTCAGATCATGTACATCAGTAAAGTGCATTAGTTTGGGGCCTTTCTTACTGTTTAAAGGTCATTCGTTTAAGTAGAATAAAAAGTAATTTAGTAAATTCAGCCATCATGGCCCAGCAGGAATCTTTTATCTCTTTAATTTCAAGAGGGATGACAGCTATTCCATCTAATGGGTATCCTTGCCAGTGAGCTTTTGTGGTATGGACTGCATATTTCAGCCCTGGTACGTAATATTTATTTCCATCACACAAGTATCAATGAACAAATGAATCACTACTTTTTGTGCAAAGACCAAACTAATTATACAGGTTAGAGAAAACTGAGTTACGGGTAAAATTTAACACTATACCATGTTATAAAAGTGTAGTGTGGGTTATTTTGCCCAGTATTCGAGAGATTTAAATGAAAATTTCCAATAAATTAATTTTAATATTTTTGATTGACAAGTCAAAATACCTACAGCTGAGTCATTAAATGTTTGGGTACCAAAACAAGGGAGGAAGGGGAATTCATCTGAATGAGCAGGAGTTTGTATTTTTTCTGCAATATCAGTTGCTCTATGAAATATCTCAATAGCTCACTCACTGTCCTTGTCCTACTCAGAAGTCACTACTTTTTCTGTAAAGTATGATATTAGCTTCAATTCCAAAAAAAAAAAAAAAAGTGGGAACATAGGAATTATTGACATTAGCAATCATTTCTTGCCTTCAGAGAAACTCTTTTACCTCAGAATGAAAGAAAGAAACAAAACCTTTTTCAAAGCCTTAAAAAAAAAAAAAAAAAAAAAAAGTCTCTACTTCATAACATTGCTTCTTCAAAGAGTTATTAGACAGCTCTGACATAGGAAATACTATGCAGAAGTATAAGTCTATGGCTCTAATAGTTTCCACCCTGTATGTTTTGCCAGGATACTCTGCGAGAAAAGCTTTTCTTTTTCTCATGTGAGAATATTTTGGGGATGTTTTTTGGTTTGGCTTGGTTTTGGTTGCTTGTTTTACTACTAGAGTTTGAAAAACAAAATTACTTCTATCCTTTGAAATTTTAATTTCAATTCTTGAAAGAATCAGAAAAGCCACCACATTTTGAGACTAAATTGTACTTAGCTACTGGTATGAACCTTGAACATGCCTTCATTATTTAATGCTCAGCTCTGGTGACCATGCTGTGCTCCCTCTCATCAAGGACATATGTTTTCGCATCTTAATGAAAAACAATAAGCAAATGACTTTTGAAGAGATAGTTTCTTTCATACATCTCTCAATCATCTACAATCTCTATCCATTCTAGATGAACAACCTTTAACATGGACAATTAATTAACATTTCTGACCTCTCAATTCATCTCAAGTTTCTTGTTTCCCTTCCACTGTTGCACAGGAATTAGTATGGCTAGCATTATAGCCTTCATGATGACATTAGTGGTTGAACATTACTTCATTGTGTACATGAGGAGATATTGCTCCCCAAAACTAATATGTCAATGGTGGTACCATGGGAATGTAGGAAGTTCATTTCTCCAATTATCCATTGAAAAAGACCATTTTTAAGAGAAGAGAAAGAAAGTGCATCAGAAAATTGCTGGTCTCCCAAATTCATGCTATCAAAATAGCACTTAGGGACTGATTTGTGATAATCTGGTGATTCACTGCAAAGGGCTGAAGGAAGAATTTTCCCCCTGTTGACAATGATAAGCAAGAAAGAAATTTCATATTACTCCTCATGCACCTGCTAAAATTACTACTCAAGTACTTTCTGTTATTGCTACTTTTCCTTTTGCTGTAATTAAAGTAACATCAGAGGAACACTGCCTTCTGCTATGTCTCAATTAAAATAAAGTCAGCTTTTTCATGCAAACCTACCCAGGTGTTTTAACAAAAAGAGCAAGAGACAGTATACTAACTCTAATACTGTTTCAAAGTTTTTATCACTTCTACTTTTTAGAGGTGCTTTTATCTCAACGAACTGCATGTCCAAAGACTCATGAGAACTCAGATGTTTGTAGTTTCCTTGGGGTCATGTCCTCATTATTTATCTAACTGCCGTAGGATTGATTGTCAAACACAGAGGTAACTAGTACTCAGGGGTGCCAGAACATTTCTCCAAGGCTTATTCAGTTCTGACTCCAATAAAATCAGGCTACTTTGGTACCATCCCCTGCAAAAGACTATGACTAAAGTCACAGCCTTCAAATGCTTGCCTTTCTGCTACAACCTCATCTGCTGGGATTGACACAGGACTGCCTCTTTTTCCCCAGACCTGGTTTAGGACACAAGGAATGATTCAGTCATACCACTAAGAAATGTGTCAGCCACAGGGAAGAAAAGGAAGAAAATAGCAAATGGGAAATGACTAGGAAAAAAAAAAAAAAAGAGAGAGAGAGACAGAAATTAAGTCCATCTAATGGTCACTTCTACTGATACAGCTGTTTCCTTAAAGCCTGTTAGTAGTTTTGTATAGATCACAGAATCACAGAATCACAGAATCTCTAGGTTGGAAGAGACCTCAAGATCATCGAGTCCAACCTCTAACCTAACACTAACAGTACCCACTAAACCATATCCCTAAGTTCTACATCTAAACGTCTTTTGAAGACTTCCAGGGATATATGTGTATAAGCAATTAAGACACAGTTTCATATTTCAGCTAAGGAAATCTCTCCCCTATGTGCAAACAGGTGCTCCACCATTGTCCTCATGCTAGTACTATCATTCATCTGACTTGCAGCGAACCTGTCCCAAGCACTAAACTAGCTATAGCAGTTGTACCCTAATTTCTGTGGGCTCAGATCCCTGAAAACAATCACTGTTGATCAGGACCCCGTCATAAGGAGCCTGTGCTGGACCCCAAAAAGGAAAACATGTTTAATAAATAGACTCATGAGTCAATTTGAAACTGGAGTGATTTCTACTTTCCAGGATACAATGTATATCCAGGCTCATCCTGAATCTCATATCAAGTAGGATCCCAACAAATACCCACTCCCTGCTTCCAGTGAAGAATCCATAAGTGCATAAGTAGCTAAAAAACTGTAGTCTGAAACTTTTGCTTATCCTTTTGGAACATTTCTTTCTGTATACATTGAGAGTAAACCACATCTATGGGCTGAGACTCTCAGCAGGTCAAAGCACTATAAATAATTGAATCGATTAAGCTGGTTAGATGAAGAACACTTTTTAAGGTAAGATTGGATTCCAACCACCTTTCTTGGATATATTTTTGTCCTTCAGCACTAATTGCTGTCTGTGCAGCTTGCCATGCAGCTATTATTCCCATATCTCTATAATACCAAAACAAATAGCTTTTGGGCAATGCTAATCCTCCCTACTGTCATGGTGGAGATGTTGTCACTCTTGTTTGGATCTTTCCCTAAAAAAGTATTTAAGTTCATTTGAAAATCGTGCTCTTGCATTTCCCTAGTCATACCTTTTCACTTCTATCACCTCTCACCACAGATGCTGCTTCTAATTTCCCATTGAGACTTAGCATACATGTATATTGCAGGTTATCCTCGGCACCAAGATCTGTAAAGCACGAAGTCCCTTCTAATCTGAGAGAGCTATTGGCATGGGGGCAGTCCTCTACCACCATGTCTTTTTTTAACAGTGAACTCTATTCTAAAGAAGAAATTTACTGAGGAAAAAAAAAATAAATAAATAAAACTCAGCACCAAATAACTTTCAAAAGTCAATGACAGTGACAAATTTATTTCTCTTTACATTCAGCTACTTCTCTCTAGATGCAATATTTACATTCCTTCTCTGTCACTGAACAACTTACAGCCACACTTCTCAGTAATGACCTAA